CCACCCCCAAACAATGTTTTCCCACCCTTACACACTGCTCTACCTAAAAACCCCCAAATACTTTCCTAAATCCGTGGTCACACGACACGCCAGGTCTAAAAAGTCTTCTCTCCTGAACTGCAGGGTGGGACAATCCATCCTCAAGTGCCCACATTGCTGACCTGTGACATGACCACCTCCTACTGGCTACCCATTGGCAGGGTCTCTAAGACTCCAGCGGTGTGATGAGAACATGGAGAGGGGGTGACAACAAGACCATTTAGTGTTGTGGATTGTGAACTGCAGAGTGGGAGGGTCCATCTTCAAGTGCCCATGTCGCTAACCTGTGACATGACCACTCCCTATTGGTTGCCCATTGGCAGGTTCTTGGTCATGTCACAGGTTAGCGACGTGGACACTTGAAGATGGACCCTCCCAGTCTGCAGTTCATGATCCACAACTCTAAATGGTCTTGTTGTCACCCCCTCTCCATGATGTCATCATGCTGCTGGAATCTTCAAGAACCTGCAACTAATGGGCAACTAATAGGAGGTGAAGACTCCAGCGGCACGATGACATAATTTAGAGGGGGTGACAACAAGACCATTTAGTGTTGTGGATCATGAACTGCAGAGTGGGAGGGTCCATCTTCAAGTGTCCACGTGGCCAACCTGTGAAATGACCACCTCTAATTGGTTGCCCATTGGCCGGGTCTTGAAGACTCCATGGCATGAGGGAAAGGGGGCAGCAACAAGACTGGTAAGTGTTATGGAAGAGCTTCACCAATAGGAGGTGAAGACTCCAGCGGCACGATGACATCATGGAGAGGGGGGTGACAACAAGACCATTTAGAGTTGTGGATCATGAACTGCAGAGTCCATCTTCAAGTGCCCACGTCGCTAACCTGTGACATGACCAAGAACCTGCCAATGGTCAACCAATAGGAGGTGGTCATATCACAGGTTAGCAACGTGGGCACTTGAAGATGGACCCTCCCACTCTGCAGTTCGTGATCCACAACACTAAATGGTCTTGTTGTCACCCCCCTCTGCATGATGTCATCACACTGCTGGAGTCTTCAAGAACCTGCCTATGAGTACCTTCTTTTGGTTGCCCATTGGCAGGGTCTTGAAGACTCCAGCGGCGTGATGACATCATTTAGAGGAGGTGGCAACCAAAACCGGTCAGTGTCCTGGATCGTGAACTGCAAAGTGGGAGGGTCCATCTTCAAGTGCCCACCTGGTTAACCTGTGACATGGCCACCTCCTACTGGCTGCCCATTGGCAGGGTCTGGAAGACTCCGAGGCATGATGGACAGGGGGCAGCTACAAGACTGATTAGTGTTACGGATGAACTGCAGTGGCCAATCAACCGCTCCAAGAAAGGTGGTGGCAAAAGGTCATGTGATGGCGGACTCAGGTGGGTAGCTTTGATGAAGTATGGGAGGAAGGGGGCGGGGTTAATTTTTCCAGGAGGTGGGCATTAAAAGGAGAAATATGAGGCGAGTGAAAACCACTCACCCTCAATAGTTCTAGCCGACGTGTAACAATGAAACTGTCACAGGTCGGCTCAGAAGATCGGGAAGTGAGGGAACACATACCGGCGCTCGCTCGCTTCTCGATCCTGTCCCTGCAGAGAGTGGTGACTGTCACTCACGGCTCCCTGCAGGGATTCCCCCCCCTCCCCGATCCTCCAGCGCTGACTGGCGGAACGGACGGGGGAGGGGGCGGGTACAGCTGGCTCTGTCTCTAGATAGGCAGAGCCAGCTGTCAATCACGCAGCTGGGCGGATACAGACAGCAATGTCGGGATCCGTCCCGGCTGAGGCTTCTCAGTATACCGCAAGTTGTAGCTCCCTATATACTGAGCTTAGGGTGACGGGAGGACGCTAGTTTGTGTCCCCCCATTACCCTGAGGAGAACTATGGGGAAAAACACTGAGCCCATAGTTCTCCTTTAAGTAACATCATCCACCAATAGACACGCACCTTATACAAAGTATCACCACCAGATCCTACTCACCAATGAGGTGGCTGCCAGGAGATCCACATCCTGCGTAGAGAAACAGAAAATCAGCATTAGAATGAACTGGCGGCAGGTCGATTCCCATCCAGCCAATGTTAAAGCGACGCGTCAGCGCGTTAGAACCAAATCGGATTAGAGCGCAGTGCAAGCCAAAGTCCCGTCCCGGCTGCTGCGATTTATTAACCCCGATCAGCAGATCCGTCAACCGAACGGCAATACAGAAGATGTGATAAAATGACGGCATGCGGGACGGAGAATTAATAGATGAATGCGGAATATTAAAATAACAATCGGGGGGAATCATTTGCATTTTTTTTTGCATTAGAGGCAGTGTTGGCTTCTTTGCCCCTCCCCTTCCTGCTGTATGCTGATTGGCTACATTTAATCCACAAAATTCCAATTGTGAAGATTAAGCCCCTCCCCCCCAAGTGAAGATAAATACACAGGTGAGAGCTGAAGGATTTGTGTCTATTCGGTCCTGAGATTTATAACCCGGCCAGGCTTGTGACCTGAACTTTCTCTGCTGCAGTTATACAAATACAACTGGGTCACCTCCCCGCCCCCGGCCTGTGATTGGTCAGTGTGCAGCAGCAGACTGATGAGGTTGCTTCTCTGTTCTGTCTTCCTGTCAGCCCAGATTACATAGAACGACCAGGCCTCCTCCCCTGCCAGATAAGAGCTGTGCTGTGTGGCACTGAGCGGTGTAAATATCAGGACTGCATGGACAGACATACAAATCCTTCGGACGGGCTGGCACACGTGAAGTGAGTGAACATAAAATGTCTACAGGAGGACCATAGACAGGATATCCCCTCCCGGGAAACCAACACCTCCCCCCCCCCCTCCGGAGTGACCGACACACATCTCTACAGACTATGCCGTGGCCCCAGGAAGTGAACACCCCGTGCAGTGCCTGGACAAGCGGTGATAGGAAAGGAAAGCTCCGGCGGGTTCACCTGGCCTTCTGCAGCCAGAGAATGTCTACGTCTATCCAGCTGGAAGAAAGACAATTATTATATACAACATCACCATACACGGCCCAATCCCCGTACAACCAGCACCACATCTACCAAAACCAGGTCAGAGGAGGGCCACATAGTCCACCCAATCCATCTCTATCCAAGAGCAGATACCAGTGACCCTTCCCTCCCTGCAGATACCCGTGACCCTTCCCTCCCTGCAGATACCCGTGACCCCTCCCTCCCTGCAGATACCCGTGACCCCTCCCTCCCTGCAGATACCCGTGACCCCTCCCTCCCTGCAGATACCTGTGACCTATTTTTTCGTACATAATCCGAATACATTTACATTAAATTCTTCACTTACCACTTTGATGTCACTTTTGAGCCGCGTGATTCCCGCCCTCTCGCTCTTCGTCGCTCCGACGGCCCCCAGCTCGCGGATGGAAATGGCCGGACTGGCCATCGTGTCCATGGACCGCACTGTGCAGGATAATAAACCCGATAATTATTAATAAATGAATTATTAAAGAAAATAATTTGCAGATTATTAGACTCGGGGCGGGGAAAGGAGGGCGGGGACTTTTCTTCGGAGAGAAGGTCGTGGTTGTGAGTCGCTTCATTACACGTGTGGACGTACAGTCAATGGGGTTTGCTTTGATCCCACCTCCCCAACACACACCTATCTCTCCCTACTAGGAATGAGCTCAGATTCAGACCGAACCCAAACCCCTCAGAACCCGTAAGGAACGAGGGGCCTCCTGCCCAGTCCAGGGCATTCCCCACCCCCACAGCGGCACATGACCAAAGGGCGGGATGCTTGTCCTTTCATCAATGGCCATCTTAGGTCAATGTCATTGTGGCCCATGTACGGTCAATGACATCACAGCATCCCACCCCTTTGCTTGTGTGCAGTTGAGGGCAGTGAATCGCCCGGCCGCAGCTGATTGGGCGGCAGCCAAAAGAGCTTCCTTTCTTCCTTGGCCTGAACCTCAACTCATCCCGACTCCTCCAATCAACACTGGGGGCCTAAGGTCATAGGCAGCACTTCCAGGTATGAAGGACCATGCAAGGAGGACTTGTACACTGGACTTCCCTTCACTTCTGGCATGGCAGGTCAGGGAGAGGCGAGTATATGCTGCTGGGCAGGACAACGGTGGAGGTGGAGCCAGGGCCGGATCTACTCTCTCTCCTGCCCCAAGGCCAGGTTCCTCAATGCGCCCCCCTACCCACCAAACCTCCCCCCTCCCCATGGAGAATGGTAGACCTGTCGAGATCACTTGTACAAAACAAGCGGCGGCTTCCCCGCTGTACATATAGCGCTGCCTGCCCAAAGCCGGGCTAAATGTAGAAAACAACTACCCATCTGGCGCCTGGAAATGCATGTCCCGGGAGATAGGAATTCCACGCCCCTGCGGCCCCGAGGCCGGGCCTTGGTTGGCCTTGTGGGAAATCCGGCCCTGGGTGGAGGTGGACTTGCCTCTAAATGTCCTAAAGTGACCGGTTGCTTTGCTCCATGAGGGTTCACTTCAGGTCATTTAGCAGGAAGTCAACCTCCACCTCGGCTCCCCAGACCCCACCAGTGCACCACAGTCATAGCAATCATTCCTTAGTACATACCGCTTCTCTCTACCTCCACCAACATGTACAGTGCACCATAGTCATAGCCATCGTTCCTTAGTACCTACCGCTTCTCTCCACCTCCAACCTTGTTCCCTAGACCCCACCATCATGTACAATGCACCATAGTCATAGCAATCGTTCCTTAGTACATACCGCTTCTCTCCACTCCAAACTCCTTTCCACTTAGGATGTGGTGAAGAAGGCTCTTCATGTCCGAAGGGCTAAGGTTCATGAGGCTCTCGGTGGCCTCCTCAGCTATAAAACACAGAGGAGTACATGTATCATATCTATAACATACGAATGCGAGACATAAAAGTGCTCCTCAACGTGATGCCGGGGAAGAGGGGGGGGTGGGATTTCCCAACACTTCCTGTCCTGTAGACCCAACAGGAGTTCCTCCAATAGTTGTCCCTACCAGAAGGGTTTTACCTCCATCAAGAGTTTGGATTCAACTTGACTTTCCATCTTGACGCCAATGGTCAGCAGGTCAATCCAAGATGGTGAACGGGTGGTCTGTGTACCCCAATGGGTACACAGACGGCAATTAAATCGTGACGGGTTGTGCTGCTTATGGTGGGATATGGCCAGACGTAATGGATGATTACAGAAGGGACAACAATAAAAGGCATTCCCGGCAATAATTTCTAGGGGCTTACCTGAGCACTGCAGGGAGTGGGACAGTTCTGTGGCCATCACCTGGATGATGAGCCCAATTCTTAAACGGAACATCTCGGCAAAGAGAGACGGCTGGGTCCTCATATACATCGCCAGGTACACCATGATTTCCTGAGGGGATGGAAATGGACTGGTCAGTGCTGGAGTGCCACCATCCATTGACGGTCAGTGCTGGAGTGCCACCATCCATTGACGGTCAGTGCTGGAGTGCCACCATCCATTGACGGTCAGTGCTGGAGTGCCACCATCCATTGACGGTCAGTGGAGGAGTGCCACCATCCATTGACGGTCAGTGCTGGAGTGCCACCATCTATTGATGGTCAATAGTAAAGTGCCACCATAAATTGGTGGTCAGTGGGGCCTCAGATGAAAGATCTGTAGAGCATCAAAAATGTCCAAGAAGAATACAAAGTCAAGTTTCGGGAGCCCATAGTTCTCCCATTGTGCAATCCCCCCCGCCCCCCGTCCTACTGCCACTGGCTGAGCCCTGTACTATATGGGTCCGCAGAGGAAGACGGGGTTCCATACCTGTGTGAGGATGGAGATGCTCATATTCTGCTCGCTGGCATCATCAATTAACCGGATCAGCTTGTCGTACGGCAACGGCCTGCGTGGAATGACAAAGACCAAAATTCAAAGATGGATTTCAATTGGTTCTTATGGATTTACTGGTTTTTCAGTGTAAAAAAAAAATAAAAAGCATAAAAAAATAAATAAAACACAACTGAGCAGAACCCGAAATATTTATAAGGAACGCACGCAGTAATGGTCTTCTCTCGTGGCTCAGGAGGCAACCCAACCGTCAGTTGTTTCTGGTGGGACAAAAGATCCGTGCAGGCCTAAAGATAAAGAAAAAAATTCTGCTCACTACATACAGAACATTGCTATTCCCTCCGCCCGGAAGCAGCGGACTCTCGCCCTCCGCCCGGAAGCAGCGGACTCTCGCCCTCCGCCCGGAAGCAGCGGACTCTCGCCCTCCGCCCGGAAGCAGCGGACTCTCGCCCTCCGCCCGGAAGCAGCGGACTCTCGCCCTCCGCCCGGAAGCAGCGGACTCTCGCCCTCCGCCCGGAAGCAGCGGACTCTCGCCCTCCGCCCGGAAGCAGCGGACTCTCGCCCTCCGCCCGGAAGCAGCGGACTCTCGCCCTCCGCCCGGAAGCAGCGGACTCTCGCCCTCCGCCCGGAAGCAGCGGACTCTCGCCCTCCGCCCGGAAGCAGCGGACTCTCGCCCTCCGCCCGGAAGCAGCGGACTCTCGCCCTCCGCCCGGAAGCAGCGGACTCTCGCCCTCCGCCCGGAAGCAGCGGACTCTCGCCCTCCGCCCGGAAGCAGCGGACTCTCGCCCTCCGCCCGGAAGCAGCGGACTCTCGCCCTCCGCCCGGAAGCAGCGGACTCTCGCCCTCCGCCCGGAAGCAGCGGACTCTCGCCCTCCGCCCGGAAGCAGCGGACTCTCGCCCTCCGCCCGGAAGCAGCGGACTCTCGCCCTCCGCCCGGAAGCAGCGGACTCTCGCCCTCCGCCCGGAAGCAGCGGACTCTCGCCCTCCGCCCGGAAGCAGCGGACTCTCGCCCTCCGCCCGGAAGCAGCGGACTCTCGCCCTCCGCCCGGAAGCAGCGGACTCTCGCCCTCCGCCCGGAAGCAGCGGACTCTCGCCCTCCGCCCGGAAGCAGCGGACTCTCGCCCTCCGCCCGGAAGCAGCGGACTCTCGCCCTCCGCCCGGAAGCAGCGGACTCTCGCCCTCCGCCCGGAAGCAGCGGACTCTCGCCCTCCGCCCGGAAGCAGCGGACTCTCGCCCTCCGCCCGGAAGCAGCGGACTCTCGCCCTCCGCCCGGAAGCAGCGGACTCTCGCCCTCCGCCCGGAAGCAGCGGACTCTCGCCCTCCGCCCGGAAGCAGCGGACTCTCGCCCTCCGCCCGGAAGCAGCGGACTCTCGCCCTCCGCCCGGAAGCAGCGGACTCTCGCCCTCCGCCCGGAAGCAGCGGACTCTCGCCCTCCGCCCGGAAGCAGCGGACTCTCTGGTAGCCACGAACTTGCAGATATCAGACATGAGGTGAGAGATCACCAGGTGTATGTGTGAGGCAGAAATCCAGTGATCTCCTAACTTCCTGTATGAGCTGACAACGCTGTATCTGCTGCTGTGCAATCACAAGCAGTGTTGTCATCCTTGGAGGGGCTTTAGGATTACAAAAGCCCCCCCCCCATCTCTGTTGTATAAGGGGGACGCGCGCTGTAGTCCAGCAGGAAAACCTCAAGCAGGGCCTGTTACCTCATCCAGAGCTTCCACTTTCTTCTTCAGGATCCCAGCAATGAAGCGAATTAGAGACCATTGACGAGAAGATCCGACTTTACCATACAGGTCAACCAACAAGTCCTTCACCGTGACACCGGGCTGACCGTACATCTGTGTGTCCCAATCCAGTCCCCTGACAAAGAATGAAGGGACAAGACAACATTAAATTTTTTTACACACGGGTCGGGGGCCCTGGACTCACTTCATGGTATACAGGAGGTACAGAATGTTGGCTTGCTCCTGGACATTGGAGGTTTCCCGTAAAATGTCCACCACGGCAGCAAAGTCCGTCTGTCCTGATGGATCCTCCGGAAGCTCCATCACTTCATGGAGAGCTGGAATCTGAAGGATATGGATTGGTCTCATTAGCATCTTTGCTGGTCAATGAACGGACTTTGTCCCGGCAAACCCAACTATCTGTAGCTCGGTCAATGATCACATGACTAAGCAGCATTGTGAACTATCTGCGGGATCCCCATCCTCAGCACCTACTCATGTTCAATGCAGATGATCACAGAGGGTACACCAAACATTTGTAGCCGCACAGAGAAGCAACGCACCAGCTGGAGCACCAAATCTGTATCCAGCTTCAAAAATCACCACAGAAGAGATCCGCCTCTCATTGGACAATCATGTCCCAATGTTGTCATTATCAGAAACCCAGGAATGAGCAATGTCATACTGCAGCTGCAGGAGCGAGTGAGTGCATGCGGACCAGAAGTAACACCAAAAAGATGCTCGGTGATCGGATTAAGGTGACTGAGTTGTCCATGTTGGAAATAAATACTGGGGGTGTCCTCAACTTCTTTTAAAGCGAGGAAGCCACTTGGATGAGTGGTGTAACATTACTGAACAAGTCTAGATGAATGGGACTAACTATACACCTCTGACCATCACACCTATATGAACTGGTTGGACATCCCATTCCAAAACCATGGCAGTTGATATGGAGTTGCCCCTTTGTGACTACAACATCCTCCCTTTTCTGGGAAGACTTTCCACAAGATTTTGGAGAGTCTGTTGGAACCTGTGTCCATTTGTGAGGTCAGTTACTGATGTTGGATGAGAAGACCTGGCTCACCATCAGCGTTCCAGTTCATCCCAAAAGGTGTTCTAAGGAGGTTTAAGGTCAGGGCTCTGTGCAGATCATTTGTGTGGAGTTCCACCACATCAAACTGGTCACACCATGTCTTTATGGAGCTGGCTTTGTAGACACGGGACAGTCATGGTGGAACAGAAAAGGGTCTTCACCAAACTGTTACCACATGGTTGGAAGAGCACAATCGTCTACAATGTCTGAATGTTCTAGTTTTAACAGACTTTCACTGGAGACACCCGAGTTTGGAGGGGTCCCAATTCATCCCAAAGGTGTTCAGTCGGGTTGAGGTCAGGGCTCTGTGCAGGACATTCGTGTTCCTCCACACCATGTCTTTATGGAACTGGCTTTGTACACAGGGGACAGTCGGAGTCTTCACCAAACTGTTACCACAAGGATGGAAGACCACCATTGTCTACAATGTCTTTGTATGGTGTAGTATTAACTGGACCCTTCACTGGAGACACCTGAGCTCAACCATTTGGAGGGGTTCCAATTCATCCCAAGTTCAGTAGGGTTGAGGTCAGGGCTCTGTGCAGGACATTTGTGTTCCACCACACCAAACTGGTCACACCATGTCTTTAGGGACAGTCATGGTGGAAGAGCACAACTGTCTACAATGACTTTGTATGAGGTAGTATTAACTGAAGCCTTCACTGGTAACCACTTGGACAGGGGGGGGGTCCATATATACGTAGGTGTGATGGCCAGGCGTCCAGAAACCTTTGACTATATAGTGTATATACAATCTGGATCATCTTATAGGAACACCAGAGGTACTGCAGGTGTCATGTTCAGCAACAATTGTCTACAGTGCCTCTCTATGGTGTAATAATAACCGAACCGTCACTGGAAACACCTGAACTCCATCATTTGAGGGGGGTCCATCTAATTTTGGCCAGAGGTAGGTGTTCTGGTCAACACAATTGTGACCATATAGTCCATCCAAGAAGACTACAATGACAATTACACTCCTACTGCCTAGGGACGGGAGAGTAAACGCAATGAACCCTTCACTGGAGACACCTGAATTCCATCATTTGGAGGAGGGTCCATCTAATTTTGGCCATAAGTAGGTGTAATGGTCAACAAAATTGTGACCATATAGTCTACCTATGAAGAATACAATGACAAATGAACTCCAAATTTTGACCACGGCTAGGCGTGATGGTCAGGTGACCACAACCTTTTGACTAAATACTATAGACGTGGAGCAGGTCCATAGAAAAAACAAGTTACAGTTGATATATTTTCATGGATATTAGTGTTCCTTAATGTACAAACGTGTTACCTTGCTGTCGTGCTGCTGTTGGGGGGCATAATCCAACAAGTCGAAGGAGGGCTGGGATGACTTTAACAGGTTGCTAGGCAGATACATGTGTACATCTAGAAAGAGAAGATACATATTTTGCACAAAGAATTGTTGCAAAAAAAGTTAAAAAAAACGTATTCAGGTCTGAAAAGAATTATGATAAGCATACGCTTGTGTTGATGAAAAGAAAGAACGTTGACCGTTTGGTACTCCATTACTTGGGCACACATTGGGTTAACAGGCCGGAATCACCATTTAGAATAAGGAATCTCATATATCAAGTCATACACACTCCAATACTCATTCTGGGGCCTTCCATAAACTGTTACCACAAGCTTGGATGAGCACAATTGTCTATATGACTTTGTATGATGGAGTATTAACAGAACCCTTCACTGGAGACACCTGAACTCCATCATTTGGAGGAGGGTCCATCTAATTTTGGCCATAGGTAGGTGGTATGGTCAACAAAATTGTGACCATATAGTCCACCCAAGAAGACTACAATGACAATTGAACTCCTACTGCCTAAGGACGGGAGAGTAAATGCAATGAACCCTTCACTGGAGACACCTGAATTCCATCATTTGGAGGAGGGTCCATCTAATTTTGGCCATAAGTAGGTGTAATGGTCAACAAAATTGTGACCATATAGTCTACCTATGAAGAATACAATGACAAGTGAACTCCTACTGCCTAGTGACGGGAGAGGAAACACAATGAGATCTAGGAGAACCCTAAGTATGGGCAATGGCATCCTATTAGCCTAAATACCCAGCTTTCTATAGAAAAGCCAAAATCTCTCTTATCGTTATGGTAAGACGCTGCGATTCTCCCAGAACAGGGCTGAAATAAGGGATCCTGACACTTTCTGAAGGACATCTCCAAGACCTTCCAAGATGTAGTAACTTGACAGTGTCTCTAAGAGTATATCCTTATATCAGGGGTTGGTAGGTCCTCAAGTGCCAGTATCCTTACAACAGGTAAAGGCAACAAAGTCCTAAGGAACTTCTGCAGGATCGAGATAGCTTTTTGTTAAGCTCCACAGCTATAAAACGCAATGCTTGGGGCCTAATGTGCCCTTCCTCAGGTGTAACTTCAACGTCTTCGGTAGCTTGAACAGTTCACCCATCTATAATAACTATGCATGTTGCCTAGTGTAGCTTTAAATTGACATGGTTCTCCAAAAAAAGGTCCCTGCCAAAGAAACTTCCTTATGGGACACACTTCTGGGAGTCTTAAATACATGGTCTCCATCTGTGCCTCCATCTACATCACACAAGTTACATAGGGGTCAAGGACTGAAAACATAGAGCGCAGCTGGTCACCAGGGATGTCCTGGAAGATGCAGAAGCTCTTCAAGACCACCAAGCCAGGAGGCACTGGTGGTGAAGCTGACCTTCTCTGTTGCACAGGCTCGGATTCCCTACAAGGCCACCGAGGCCCGGCCTCGGGGCGGCAGGGCGCAGAGGGGCGGCAGCAGTGTCCTTGTGGGCAAGTTCCAGGCTTCGGGCGGTCAGTTGCCCACTCTACATTTAGTCCTGCTTTGCACAAGTAGGACTAAATGTAGAGTGAGGGAAGCCGATTGTTCGTTTACATGTCCTCTCGGCGATGTCACCGAGATCACATGTAAAAAGTCTGCAGCCAACCCCCCCTCCCCTTCCTGTATTGGATGTGACACGGTCAATAAAGAGAACCTGTCGCCTCCAATTGCTATCACACAGGGGATTGTTTTCTCCTGTGTGGTAGCAATAAAGTTAGTTGGAAAAAAAAATTACATTGATTAAAAAATACAAAATTTAAAAAAATATATGAAATAAAAAAAACAAAAAGGTGATTAAAAAGTAAAAAATAAGAAAATAATTATAAAAAATAAACAATAAGATAAAAAAATATGAAAAAGTAAATAAAAAAATTGATTAAAAAAATAAATAAAAATGTAAAAAATAAGAAACAATTAAATAAAAAAAGTGATAAAAAATAAAGAAACAGTAAAAAATTTTTTGTTTTAAACTAACCCCACCATCTGGTTGCCATTCTCCATTGATGGGAAGAGGGGGGTTGGCAGGAGGGGGGGCATTGCAGGGAGGTTTCTTAGAAGACACGGTTGTTTCAAATGTCAACTTCTAAAGACATAAAAGCAAACGATATTGTCTATAAAAGAGAGAGTAAAGGAAATCCCTTACCCTGCACATTGAGACTTCTGGCCTTTGTGCGAAGGGATATGAGGTCCCGAGTGCTGTGAATGGCCGCTTTGAAGCGATTCAGACCCCCTTTCTGCGTGGCAGGTGACGGTTTGGACGTGCTGGTGCTCAAAAGATGGCTGAGATACTGAGCCACCTCATCCTCGGAGTCTTCTGTAGAGAGGAATCGGGAATGAAAAAGGGAGATGAGAGAGAATGACCCCTGACCAGCACATCCATAAAGAACGTCTCGGCAATCCAACAGAAGCAACGTGGGTAATGCAGGTGAGAGCATGCAAAGGCAGAAGATAAAAAGAGATGGAAGACCATGCTTTGCAGCCAACAAGCTGAACATCCTAAATACACTCCAACCCGATTTCATTGTCAGAATATAGAATTAGAAATTAGGGATGAACCAATACCGATGCTAGTATTGGTGCCGATAACAAGTGCTCGCACCAAATGCTCCCGATGCCTATCCAGATACCAGAACTTCCGGTATGAGGAAGCCAAGCGGCGAGTCGTTACACGTTGCCCGGCTTCCTGATACCAGGGAGCATGGAGCTGGCTACCCGCTCAATTTAGGAAGCCAGGGGGGTGGTTAATGACTCACTTGCTAGCTTCCCCATTGGCCGGGAATCCAGCTCCATGCTTCCTTGTCACTTGGCGACGAGGGAGAATTGAGCCAACTTCCGGGCCAATCAGGAAGCTGGGCAGCTCGCCACCCGGCTTCCAGAATGGTTGGGAAGCTGGCCAAATCAGGAAACGGAGCGGCTAGTCATTACCTGCCCCTCGGCTTCCTGATTGGCCAGAAAGCGGCTCCAAGCTTCCTCGTCACCAAAGATGAATTGAGCCAGCTTCCCGGCCAATCAGGAAGCCGGGCGGCAACTCTGGCTTCCCGATTGCATGGAGCCGGCTTTCTGACCAATCGGGAAGCCAGAGGGTGGGTTATGACTTGCTGCTTGGCTTCCTGATTGGCTAGCTTCTTGACCAATCAGGAAGCCGGGCAGCGAGTCATTACACGCTGCCCAGCTTCCTGATTGGCCATGAAGCCGGCTCCATGCTACCTCGTCACCTGGTAACAAGGGAGCATGGAGACCGCTTCCCGGCTAATCAGGAAGCTGGGCAGCGTGTAATGACTTTCCGGAGCTGCCCGGCTTCCCGATTAGCCGGTAGGCGGTCTCCATGCTCCCTTGTTACCAGTTTCCTTATTGGGACTTACGGTATCGGTGTGCATCCCTATTAGAAATAGAACAGCCCAATTGGCTTTCAGTTCCGATTCTGGAGCAGCTGTGCGTGGCAACCAATCAGCATCTCTCTTTCATTTTCAAATCTGAACTGAACAAACTGAAGAGAGAAGCTGATTGGTTGAGATGTGCAACTGCTCCAGGTTTGATAAAAATTCCCCCCAATGCGTTCAAAGTCCAACGGTTCAATGTCTTTAGAAAAGCAGCCAAAGCCTCAGCAGAAAAGCAGGGTGCTGCATAGAAGGATCCTTGCTTTGTGTGGAAGCAGTGGTCCCTCTGCAGAGGTCAGGCAGGACCCCCTATTGAGTCAGCTAGGAGGTCTCCAAATCAGCAGGCAGCATGAGCTTTGTTGATTGGAGAGCTGAAGTGGCATGTGGGACCGTTGTAGAGAGACCACAGACAGCAAGGGTTACTATAATGCAACAAAGAAAGGATGACAACGCTTTTGGAGAATGAGAAACGCAGCAAAGACTGTTGTCACCTTTACGCAGGAAGCTCAATCTCCGGAGTTTTACTGGTAGGTATAGCTAGCGGTAAAGACATTTTTAAAAACAAATAGGATGCCTTCTATGAGACGTCGTGCCTGTAGGCACACTTTAAATATTTTTGGGGTTAGGAACTTAGTTGGTTGTGGATGAATTAGTCTCGATCTATTTCGGAAACATTTCATGCTTCTTTTTTTTGTGTATATTTTCAATGAACGTTCCATTCTCCAGCAGTTGCCGCTTCCTACCATGCACCTATCCTGTGAAAGTCACCGGTGACAACTGAGCACGCGTGGAAAAAAAAAAAAGACAGCACACCTCCAAATGGCAAAGATGGACAACAGTTAAAAGAACTCCTTTCAGAAGCGTGGCCAGGAAAGTGATTTTTGGATCAGGACACGAATGGGACCTCCGGATCTCGGACCGAGAATTTATTTTGACTATTAAACTGCTTTGCCACTTTTTTTTCTTCCACCTAGTTGTCCGTGCTTTCCTCCTCTTACCATCATCGGCTGACGGAGCCACATGCAGAGGCGACTCTGGCTCCTGCACAATGATTGGCTGGCCCTCGTGCGAGCCACTCCCCCAGGCACACAGCTTACCCTCCATACCGGTGTCCATGAAGCTAAGGTGTTTGCAGCAGGATGTGGTAAGGAAGTCAGACAAGCCCCCAGTCTGTGTCCTGAAATCACCAAGGAAAGGAGACAATTTAGGAAGATCTACACCCGACCCCAATGAATGCATCACTAGGAGGCACAGGGGTCCCCAGCAGGTCCTGATTCCTCTATATAGATCTTTAGTCATCACTAGTGGGATCCCCAGCAGAAGGAAGGAGGTCCTGATCCCTCTATATAGATCTTAATTATCACTAGAGGGATCCCCAGCAGAAGGAAGGAGGTCCTGATCCCTCTATATAGATCTTAATTATCACTAGAGGGATCCCCAGCAGAAGGAAGGAGGTCCTGATCCCTCTATATAGATCTTAATTATCACTAGAGGGATCCCCAGCAGAAGGAAGGAGGTCCTGATCCCTCTATATAGATCTTAATTATCACTAGAGGGATCCCCAGCAGAAGGAAGGAGGTCCTGATCCCTCTATATAGATCTTAATTATCACTAGAGGGATCCCCAGCAGAAGGAAGGAGGTCCTGATCCCTCTATATAGATCTTAATTATCACTAGAGGGATCCCCAGCAGAAGGAAGGAGGTCCTGATCCCTCTATATAGATCTTAATTATCACTAGAGGGATCCCCAGCAGAAGGAAGGAGGTCCTGATCCCTCTATATAGATCTTAATTATCACTAGAGGGATCCCCAGCAGAAGGAAGGAGGTCCTGATCCCTCTATATAGATCTTAATTATCACTAGAGGGATCCCCAGCAGAAGGAAGGAGGTCCTGATCCCTCTATATAGATCTTAATTATCACTAGAGGGATCCCCAGCAGAAGGAAGGAGGTCCTGATCCCTCTATATAGATCTTAATTATCACTAGAGGGATCCCCAGCAGAAGGAAGGAGGTCCTGATCCCTCTATATAGATCTTAATTATCACTAGAGGGATCCCCAGCAGAAGGAAGGAGGTCCTGATCCCTCTATATAGATCTTAATTATCACTAGAGGGATCCCCAGCAGAAGGAAGGAGGTCCTGATCCCTCTATATAGATCTTAATTATCACTAGAGGGATCCCCAGCAGAAGGAAGGAGGTCCTGATCCCTCTATATAGATCTTAATTATCACTAGAGGGATCCCCAGCAGAAGGAAGGAGGTCCTGATCCCTCTATATAGATCTTAATTATCACTAGAGGGATCCCCAGCAGAAGGAAGGAGGTCCTGATCCCTCTATATAGATCTTAATTATCACTAGAGGGATCCCCAGCAGAAGGAAGGAGGTCCTGATCCCTCTATATAGATCTTAATTATCACTAGAGGGATCTCCAGCAGGAGGAAGGAAGTCATCAAATGATAATGAAATGATAAAGCTTTATGCATACCTGGCACCCCCAAAGTATCCATCCTGGAGTTTCCTGAGAGTAGCTAACACGGCCGGATCCAAGTCGTTTCCAGACTCATCTAGGAGGAAAATCAGAGGAGAGGTGCAAGTTCAGGGACAACGTCTTGTAGTGCTGCTCATGCTTACATGTACTGACAGAGGTTTCATTGTTAAGGTGTATCTAAACCCAAGAACATCAATGTCAAATATTGCAGCTTACCCGTCCTTAGATATGGTGGCTGCATTAGTTTTCTTTTCCTTGCCTTTATTGTAACCTAGTGATCCTGCCAGGAACGCACTTCCTGTACTGTATCTATTTTAGGTGGCTGTGGATACTACATGTACATAAAGTCCATTGACAGCACCAAACAAGACCAAGCACGAGAGTCCTAAAGCTTGTAATAATAGAATGGGTTCACAAATGACGACACAGAACAGATTTCAATTTTCCATCAGAGACCAGATACATTACCTAGCATGGTTTGAGACACGGGAAAGGTGACGGTTGGCCGCCCGGTCATCCTCCATCTTCTGCACAAGTAGGACAAGTCGGTCCGTAACATTTCTACGATCATCCGGTTATCCAGGGCTAGATAAAATTGTTGCTGATCTATAAACTGTAAAAGGGAGATGATAAAATAAAAAATCAGTAAATAGTCCTAAAGTGCAGAAAATAACATGTATTGTGGTGTAATACAACATTTTAGCCACTAGATGGAGCTGAGGAGAAAAGGGAAATACACACTCATGGCCACTAGATGGAGCCAAGGAAACACACACTCATAGGCACTAGATGAGTGTGTCTTTCCTATGCTCCTCAGCTCCATCTAGTGGCCATGAGTGTGCATTTCCTATGCTCTACAGCTTCATGGCCACTAGATACAACTGAGGAGCATAGGAAATACATACTCATGGCCACCAGATAGAGCTGAGGAGGACAGGAAATACATACTCATGGCCACTAGATGGAGCTGAGGAGAATAGGAAAAACACACATCTAGTGGCCATGAGTGTGCATTTCCGATGCTCTTCAGCTTCATCAAGTGGCCATGAGTATGCATTTCCGATGCTCTTCAGCTTCATCTAGTGGCCATGAGTATGTTTCATCTAGTGGCCATGAGTGTGTATTTCCTGTCCTCCTCAGCTCCATCTGATGGCCATGAGTGTGTATTTCCTGTCCTCCTCAGCTCCATCTAGTGGCCATGAGTGTGTATTTCCGATGCTCTTCAGCTTGATCAAGTGGCCATGAGTGTGTATTTCCTATGCTCTACAGCTTCATGGCCACTAGATAAAACTGAGGAGCATAGGAAATACATACTCATGCCCACCAGATAGAGCTGAGGACAGGAAATACATACTCATGGCCACCAGATAGAGCTGAGGACAGGAAATACACACTCATGGCCACTAGATGAAGCTGAAGAGCATTGGAAATACACACTCATGGCCACCAGATGGAGCTGAGGAGGACAGGAAATACACACTAATGGCCACTAGATGAAACATACTCATGGCCACTAGATGAAGCTGAAGAGCATCGGAAATACACACTCATGGCCACTAGATGGGGCCTGAGGAGCATAGGAAAAAATACACACACTCATGGCCACTAGATGGAGCTGAGGACAGGAAATACACACTCATGGCCACCAGATAGAGCATAGGAAATACACACTCATGGCCACTAGATGAAACCGAGCATAGCAAATACATAGTCATGGCCACTAGATGGAGCTGAGGAGCATCGTAAGCAGCAGCAGGAAGGGACAGGAAGTGAGGGGATATCTTCCAGTTGGGGCACCAGTTCTGGTGACAACTGTAAGGGCCCGGACATGTTTGATTATTTTTGAACTTGGCCCAGTTGACCAGACACAGAGCTGAATACCTGGGGAGTAAATGCGAAGATGTTCTGTCGAATGCTGTACAGTTTGGAGGTTCCCAAGACGCCCATATTTCTGTACGGCCTCCCGGTCAGGTGCATCTTTTTATTGCGTCCTTTGCGGAAATAAAAGTATCAATTAGATGGATCGTCGCTGCAAAGTATTACACTGTAACTATAAACAGCACAAGTACAATCGGGTGTCGACTGGCGCCCCCTGCTGACCCCTCCATGCCACTACAGGACACAGCAGAAACACTCACCCAGCCTGGCATATATGTGGCTCAGGATCCGGGCGGGCTGAACTCTGATGGGGTTCACACTGGCCATCGTCTCCACCTGTATACCGTGTGCCTTAAGGATATCATGGATCTCCTCAGTCTCTGCCAGGATGCACACTACAAGAGGCACAGGGAACAAAATCAGATCAATGTCACTTCTCATTACTTATTTTCAGCATACATGGACCACGTCCGGTGGATAAAAGCTTGTGTTCACATGGAGGACTAGAGACTCACTCTAAAACTGAACTCCAAGGAGGATATAAAATACTAGGAATGCACCGATACCATTTTTCCAGACCGAGTACGAGTACCGATACTTCTCCTCAAATGATCGTCCATACCAATTACCAATAGCTTTTCATGCGACAGTCTTTCTAAAACAATACAGACTAGTGATTGTAGGAGAGTGGTGGAGCACCAGGGTCCAGTCGCAGCTGCAACCTCTGTGGCCCTGATAGTTCTGCCACTGGCTCTAAGCTGTAGAGGGACTACAAATCCCAGCAATACATTATACAGTAATGCAGAATACCACCAGCTATAGAGGACTACAAATCCCAGCAAAGCATTGTACAGCAATACAGAATACCACCACCAGCTATAGAGGACTACAAATCCCAGCAATACATTATACAGTAATGCAGAATACCACCACCAGCTATAGAGGACTACAAATCCCCTCAATCGTCTCTATTATTATTTACCCTGAACAACCACGTCTGGTTTGGGGACTGTAGAAAATCTCCTGTTTAATGGATCGATCTCTCCCGGAGCGAGGAAACCCTGGAGGATGAGAGAGGACGGGGCAAAGAAAAAAAGATAAGAAATGTGGTTTTATCTTCCATATGCGAGGGAGAGGGAGGAGAGGCGAGAGAGAGAGAGAGAGAGAGCAAGAGAGAGAGAGAGAGAGAGGGAGAGAGAGAGAGAGAGAGGGAGAGAGGGGGAGAGAGAGAGAGGGAGGAGAGGCGAGAGAGAGAGAGAG